TTGATCTGTTCGATTGATCTGATTCCTTCATTTCTACAAAAGTAACCCTTTGGAGTTCTTGATCAGCTGGGCTATCCTCCTGAAACTGTCGTGAAATTTGACTAAAAACTTTGATTCTAAACGACGATATTGAAGTGTTTCTACTTCAAAGAAAAAAATCTATTAAAATCATTGCATCGAGTTGCTTGAGTAGCTTCCAAATATGTTAATTGTAAAAATTTTTAAATTTGTCTAGGAATGCAGAGGATCGTTTCATAACACTCGGCTATATGGCACAAGCGTTCTGTGATTCGGGTGATTATGAATCAATGCTACAGTATGCACTGCAACAAATGGAGTTGGCGAATACACGACAAGATGAGTACATGAAAAGTGAAGCTTTCTTAAATCTGGCGAAAGCCTACGAAAGACTTGCCGACTTCAGTAAGGCCATCGGCTATGGCCGGGCGAGTCTGCAACATCCTAGTATGGATCCGAGAACGCCAGGATATGCACACTTGGGTAAGGGAGTGCTTTCGTCTGCTCCGACAAATCCGTTAATTTCTCCGCCACCTTCAATCTGTTGCTTGATTAGCTGAAGCGCGATTAATCCAGACTTAATCTCATTCATTCCACTACATCTCAACCAGCTAAAAAGCGAAAATTCCATCCCAGCAGTAATCTTACAGGGAATCTGGTGCCCTGGGCTAGAGATTTCTATCAGGCTTCATTTCACCCATTCGTTTTGGCCATTTTTAGCTATGGGCTAGAATCTGGTTCAGCCGGTTCATGAAGACATGCCAGCTTCCTTGAGCTTGTTAGGGATTGGGGAATTTTCAAAGAAATAATAAAATTCCGTGTGAGTGATGAAGCGAAGCAAATGTTTTGCAGCCATAGCACTGTCTCAGATGGGCTTTAGCCAGTTCCAGTCGAGTCTAGAAGCGTTCGAAAAGGCGATGACCATAGCCAATCAAACCTCCGACAAGCTACTGGAGCTGCAGATTTGCGTTGGTCTTGGGGCTTTGTTCACACTACTGAGGTTAGTCGCTCTCGATTGCTCTCGATCGATCTTAAAACTCGCGTTGACACGAAATATGATCATCAGTGTTATCGTTTTGTGATCAGTGTTATTATTATGATCACTAATAAGACTGGCAAACTATATTTGATCGGTCAATTATTGTCACAAATGATCAATGTCATTATTATTGCCACAAACTATATTTGACCGGTGACCGGTCAATCTGCCTAAAGACACATTGCCTAACGGACAGTTTGCCTAAAGACATTTTGCCTAACGGACAGTTTGCCTAAAGACATTTTGCCTAACGGACAGTTTGCCTAACTTACGGTTTTTAAAAGGATATTTCGCCTAATAGGCAAACTGTCCGTTAGGCAATGTGTCTTTAGGCAAACCGTCGTTAGGCAAAATGTCTTTAGGCAGATTGACCGGTCACGAGTGATTCGTCTCGGTGATTCTGCGAAATTCGGTTAGTCGAAGTCATCCATCGACCATCAGTTGTTTAGTCATCACGGGTCTTGTTTGATGATCAACGAAAATTATTTGTCTGGTGTCGGTCAGAGGCCGCTGATCCAATTCTGTCTTCAATCGTGACCGGACAATCTGCCTAAAGACGTTTTGCCTAACGGACAGTTTGTCTAAAGACACATTTCCTAACGGACAGTTCGCCTAACGGACAGTTTGCCTATTAGACAAAATATACATTAAAAACTGTCCGTTAGGCAATATGTCTTTAGGCAAACTGTCCTTAGGCAAAGAGTCCTTAGGCAGATTGTCCAATTACCGTCTTCAACGACCGATACATTGTCTCTCCAAACAAAAAAAGAACACAGAGTAACTGGAGTCATTAAAAAGGGAAAGTCAGCGGAAAAAGCGATTAAGCCACACAACTAACGAAGATCATCTGTCAATTTTTTTGGCCCTGACTGTGATTCTTGTTGAAGCTATGGCCGATTCATTCGAACTGCCCGAAAATCTAAAGGTCCTAATCAGTCTCTAGCTCTACATGAAACTCTGGCTTTGCCTCAGTATTTGTCTTTAGCTTCGAGCTGATCTCGAGCTGAGCTTCGAGCTGAAGTCCGCTGATCTGATCCTTCTATCGTCAAACTCGTACGTAGACGATAAAGTCAGCTAGCCAGTCAGCCAGCTAGCCATCGATTGCGCTGAAATGAATGTGCTGAATCTGCTGAACTGAACGAATCGTATCATCTCTTCAAAAAACACGCAAATAAACACGAAAAAATCAAGCGAATGATTTATCTCGAGACAGATTTTGAGATAAGAGCGAGGGATCTGGCGATAGAACTGCTCATTAGATGATTTGTTCTAACGCTTTATATCATGTCGACTTGTTGTTTTTCGCTGGTGTAAAGTGTTTTTATAAGTGTAAATTGATACCGATTACTCTTATCTACGTTAAAATGTCTTCCAGCAAATAACTTATCGAACATCTACTGATAAGCATTGATAACACACTGATAAACCTGTTAGCCGTCACAATCCAGCCAGTGAACCCATTAATTTTGTTTGATCGAAAGGTCAAACTTTTGATCTTTCG